AGAGAACCTACAGACTGAAAAAAATTTTGGCTACAACATATACAATAAGGGTCTAATCTCTAGAATTTATAAGATACTACAACACCTCAACAACAAAAAGACAAATTACCCAATTAAAAAATGGGCAAAGGATAAGAACAGACACTTCATCAAAGAACACATTCAAGCAGCTATCAGATACAGGGGGATATCCTCACAATCATTAGTCATGAGAGAAATGCAAATCAAAACTACAATCGAATACCATTTCACTCCAACAGGGCTAGCATTAATCCAAATACACAAAATAATGAGTGTTTGCGAGGTTGTGGAGGGACTGGAACACTTATGCACTGCTGGTGGTTATATAAAATGGAACAACCACTTTGGAAACTGATTTACACTCCCTTAAAAAGTGAGAAATAGAAGTACCATATGATCCAGCAATCCCACTCCTTGGAATATATCCTAGAGAAATAAGAATCATCACATGAATAGATATATGCACACCCATTTTCATAGCAGCACTGTTCACAATAGCAAAAAGATGGAAACAACCTAGGTATCCATCCACAGACGAATGGACAAATGATGGTACATATACACAATGGAATACTACAAAATGATAAAGAATAACGATGAATCTGCCAAGCATCTCACAATATGGATGAATCTGGAGGGCATTATGCTGAGTGAAATTAGTCAAACACAAAAGGACAAATATTGTGTGAGACCACTATTATAAGAACTCAAGAAAAGGTTAAAACACAGAAGAAAGCATTCTTTGATGGTTACAAGGGTGGGGAGGGAGGGGAAAGGGAAATGACTAACTTGATAATAGACAAGGATCGACTTTGGTGAAGGGAAGGACAACACACAACACAGGGGGAGTCAGCACAACTGGACCAAAGCAAAAGGTAAGAAGTTTCCTGAACATATCCAAACACTTTGAGGGACAGAGTAGCTGGAGCTGGGTTCTGGGGACCATAGTTTCAGGGGACATCTAGGTCAATTGACATAACAAAGTTTATTAAGAAAATGTTCTGCATCCCTCTTTGGTGAGTGGAGTCTGGGGTCTTAAAAGCTTGCAAGGGGCCATCTAAGATGCATCAATTGTTACCAACCCACTTGGAGGAAAGGAGAATGAAGAACACCAAAGATTAGCCCAAGAGACCAAAGGTCCACATAAACCAGAGACTCCACCAGCCTGAGACCAGAAGAATTAGATGGTGGACAGCTACCACCAATGACCACCCTAACAGGGAACACAACAGAGAGTCCCTGAAGAAGCGGGAGAAAAGTGAGCATGCTTGAGCCCATTGCTCCAGCCACTGTGTCAATCTATCTCATTGAGGGTCTTCCTCTTTTTCGATGACCCTCTATGTTACCAAGCATGATGTCCTTCTGCAGGGACTGATCCCTCCTGACAACATGCCCGAAGTATGTGAAACTCAGTCTCGCCATCCTTGCTTCTAAGGAGCATTCTGGCTGTGCTTCTTCCAAGACAGATTTGTTCATTCCTTTGGCAGTCCATGGTATATTTAACACTGTTTGCAAACACCATAATCAAAGGTATCAATTCTTCTTTGGTCTTCCTTATTTATTGTCCAGCTTTCGCATGTATATGAGACAATTGAAAATACCATGGCTTGGGTCAGGCACACTTTAATCTTTAAAGTGACATCTTTGCTTTTTAGCACTTTAAAGAGGTCTTTTGCAGCTGATTTGCCCAATGTAATATGTCGTTTGATTTCTTGGCCACTGCTTCCATGGGTGTTGATTGTGGATCCAAGTAAAATGAAATCTTTGACACTTCAATCTTTTCTCCATTTATCGTGATGTTGCTTATTGATCCAGTTGTGAGGATTTTGTTTTCTTTATGTTGAGGTGTAATCTATACTGAAGGCTGTGGTCTTTGATCTTCATCAGTAAGTGCTTCAAGTCCTCTTCAGTTTCAGCAAGCAAGTTTGTGTCATCTGCATAACCCAGGTTGTTAATGAGTCTTCCTCCAATTCTGATGCCCTGCTCTTCTTTATATAGTTTGGCTTCTCAAACTATTTGTTCAGCATACAGATTAAATAGGTATGGTGAAACGATACAACCCTGACACACATCTTTCTTGACTTTCAAACACGCAGTATCCCCTTGTTCTGTTTGAACCACTGCCTCTTGATCTATGTACAGGTTCCTCATGAGCACAATTAAGTTTTCTGGAATTTCCATTCTTCACAATGTGATCCATAATTTGTTATGATCCACACAGTCGAATGTCTTTTCATAGTCAATAAAACAGGTAAACATCTTTCTGGTATTCTCTGCTTTCAGCCAAGATTCATCCGACATCAGTAATGATATCCCTTGTTCCATGCCCTCTTCTGAATATGGCTTGAATTTCTGGCAGTTCCCTGTCAATGTACTGCTGCAACTGCTTTTGAATGATCTTTAGCAAAAATTTTACTTGTCTCTGATATCAATGATATTGTTCGAGAATTTCCGCATGCTATTGGATCACCTTTCTTTGGAATAGGCATAAATATAGATCTCTTCCAGTTGGATGGAAAGGTAGCTGTCTTCCAAATTTCTTGGCATAGACGAGTGAGCACTTCCAGTGCTGCTTCTGTTTGTTGAAACATCTCATTTGGTATTCCATCAATTCCTGGAGTCTTGTTTTTTGCCAACGTCTTCAGTTCACCTTTGACGTGTTCCTTTGGTACCGTCAGTTCTTGATCATATGCTACCTCCTGAAATGAGGGAACGTTGACCAATTCTTTTTGGTACAGTGACTCTGTGTCACTTCCATCTTCTATTGCCCATAGAATCTTTCACTGTTTTAACTCAAGGCTTTAAGTTTTTCTTCCATTCTTTCAGCTTGAGAAATGCCAAGCCTGTTCTTTACTTTTAGTTTTCTAATTCCAGGTCTTTACACATGTCATTATAGTACTGTACTTTGTCTTCTTGAGCAGCCTTTTGGAATCTTCTCTTCAGCTCTTTTACTTTATCATTTCTTCTGTTCGCTTTAGCTACTCGAAGTTCAACAGCAAGTTTCGGAGTCTCTTATGATTCCATTTTGGCCTTTTCTTTCTTTCTTGTCTTTTTAAAGACCTCTTTCTTTCTTCATGTATGATGTCCTTGATGTCACTCCACAACTTGTTGGGTCTTCGGTCATTACTGCTCAATGTGTGAAATATATTCTTAGATGGTCTCTAAATTCAGGTCGGATATACTCAAGGTCGTACTTTGGCTCTCTTGGACTTGTTCTAATTTTCTTCAGCTTCAGCTTGAACTTGTATATAAGCAATTGATGGTCTGTTCTGCAGTCAGCCTCTGGCCTTTTTCTGAATGATGATATTGAACTTTTCCATTCTCTCTTTCCACAGATGTAGTCTATTTGATTTCTGTGTATTCCATCTGGCGAAGTCCACATGTACAGTCACCTTTAACGTTGTTGAAAAAAGGGATTTGCAATGGCTAAGTCGTTAGTCCTGTAGACTTCTATCATGCTATCTCTGGCATCGTTTTTATCACCAACGCCATATTTGTCAACTACTGATCCTTCTTTGTTTCCAACTTTCTCATTCCAATCACCAGTTATTATCACTGCATCTTGATTGCACGTTCGATCAATTTCAGACTGTAGAGTTTGGTAAAAATCTTCAATTTCCTCATCTTTGGCCTTAGTGGTTGGCGTGTAAATTTGAATAATAGTCGTATGAACTGGTCTTTCTTGTAGGAGTATGGATATTATCTTATCGCTGACAGCGTTGTACTGCAGGATAGATCTTGAAAGGTTCTTTTTGATCATGAGTGCAACGTCATTCCTCTTCAAGTTGTCGTTCCCGATATAGTAGACCATATGATTGTCTGATTCAAAATGGCCAATAACTGCCCATTTCAGCTCACTAATGCCTAGGATATCAATGTTTATGCATTCCATTTCATTTTTGACGATTTCCGATTTTCCTGGATTCATACTTCATACATTCTATGTTCCAATTATTAACAGATGTTTGCAGCTGTTTCTTCTCATTTTGAGTCATGCCACATCAACAAAAGAAGATACTGAAAGCTTGATTCCATCCACATCACGAAGGTCAACTCTACTTTGAGGAGGCAGCTCTTCCCCAGTTGTCTTTTGAGTGCCTTCCAACCTGAGGGGTTCATGTTCCGGCACTATATCAGATAATGTCCTGCTGCTATTCATAAGGTGTTCACTGGCTAATTTTTTTCAGAAGTAGACAGCCAACAACTTCTTCCTAGTCCATCTTAGTCTGGAAGCTCAGCTGAAACCTGTCTGCCATGGGTGACCCTGCTTGTATCTGAATACCGGTGGCATAGCTTCCACATCACAGCAACACCAAGCCCCCACAGTATCACTCACTGAATAAATCTGTATAAGTTTTATAATTATTACTTTTCTGCTACATATGCATATTTGACAGTTGTCATTACAAACTTATTTGTCTATAGGCATATCTGTAGGAGTCCCTGGGTGGTGGAAACAGTTAAAATGCTTGTCTGTTAACCAAAATGTTAGGAGTTTGAGTCCACCCAGAGGCACCTTGAAACAAAGCCTTGACAATCTACTTCCAGATAATAAACCATTGAAAACGCTGTGGAGTATAGTTCTACTTTGACATACATGGGATTTCAATGAGTTGAGATTTACCCCACAGCAACTTGTTTGGTTTTTGCTTTTTGGTATCACTATATTTGTCAAGACATTTGTTCACATCATGTAGCAAAATATCCATTATCTAATCTGATTCAGGGTAGTGAGTAATTTCAACAGAAGGTGTTCATGGGAACATAGGAACCATCTACTCCTTATTCTGAGGAACTCTTTTCATTGGAATCTCATTTGTCAAAATATTTACTGACTTGAATTTTAACAATTTTAAATTATATAGTGTTTTCCAACGTTAAAATATTATGGAAATGATGAGTATCGTATTTGTACCAATTAGACATTCTGAACTTGGGATAGTATTGGCCAACTTTGTTAACCTTATTAGACAACTTACCCAAGGAAAAAGAGACCTTTCCAGATGAGATACTCCACATCTTATTCCCAGAGACTGGAGACAGAGCTATATACCAGATGGGTAGGTTGTTTGATTGGGCTGATTCATTAATGTGTACCCTTGTCAAAACAGATTCAGTTAAAAAAATCTGCCTTTGCCCTTTCTCTCTTCATTAGTAATTGCTAAAAGACAGAAGCAGAACATGGTTAAGTCACCAACTTTTTCTATATGAACCATGCCAAGTCATGGCTGGAGATGTTTCAATTTATGGTCATGTGGAGTCTAGAGTGGTCAAACTGCAGCCTCTGTGCAGTGAGTGTCAATTCCACTAGGGCAAGAATTAACGTGAGCTGTTTTACTCAAGGTCCTGCATGGCACTGATCCTTGTTAAAAGTATGAAACATATTGTTTAATAGTGTGCTTTGTGAACATGGGCTCAAGGTGGTTTGGGCAGATTGCCCCAGCTTGTTAGAATGGTTTAGTGATAACACTGAGGTTGATGATTTGTACCTGGTCTCTGGGAGGGTTTTTTTTTTTTTTTGTTGAGCCTGGTTAGGCAGCAGAAATATACCTACACGACCACCAGGAAGATAGAGAACTATCTTAGCTGAGTTCCCATTTTGGGATCCTTGCTTCTGAAATGTTCTTTGCACACACTGGTGGTTTCTTGCCTGAGAAAGTGTGTCTGGCTACAGCCTTTACAAAGGAGTTCATACCTGACCTCTCCAGACCCCTTGTTGTAAGTGTATGCATGTGATGCATACCCTTACTTTAACGGTATTGCTATATTGAATCCTTTTTCCTGAAATAAGCTGTAAATTAATTTATAGACAATGTCATTTAGGGTTCTGTTAGTATTCTTTAGCAAAGGAACCCTGTTTAACTGCCGTTGTTAGTTCAGCCTCCAAATAGCATATATGGCAACAAGAAATTAATGTAAAACTATCTCTGTAGGCCAGTTCACAGCTTCTTTAGATTAAAGGTTTTTAATGCTAGTTCCAAAGTTATTACTTGCTTGAAGTAATAAGCAAATGTGGTTGCATACTGATGGAATTCAGAGTACACAGTCTGCCTCAGGGCTGATGGGGTACCTCAAATCTGGGGGCTTTACCTATACAGGTTTTTTTAAAATAGGAGAATATATTTATAATTACTGTTAACAGATATTTTCAAGATTGAATTCTGTCAAACCCACTGATACTATCATTGTGGGTCAAATGTTTTTAAAGTGAACTAATAACAAAATGCATAGTCTTGAAATGCATCAAGTGATAAGTGTAATAATTCATCAACATAAGCTTTTAATTTTATCGATTAAAGAGTTATGTGACCCAGTTGCTGTTGAGAATATATTGGGCTTTAAGGAAAAATGACACAGGAGAAAGGAGAAGTGTTGATGTCTGGAGTTGGGGTAGTCTGGGTTGGGAGGGAGAGCCTGGAAGATTCTGGCACAGGCTGCTATGGTGATCTCCCTTGAAAAATATGGATCTGTGCGTTATCACCTGAGCTTATCCCAATGTTTGTTCATACTCTAGGAACTTTTAATCCTCCTGGTGAACCTGTTCCTTGACATGGAGCCAAGTCCTTTACATATACTTCCTCTAGTTTTTTTTCCCCCCAGATTCTTATAAGAAAAAAGTGGAAATTATTATTTTGTTGACTTAAGGCAATGGTACTAATCAACTAAATGCGATTATTAATAAATGTATGTTAAATTAAACTTATTGCCTTCATATGAGATCTGCTTTTGCTAAGTTAAGACATCAGTAATTGCATGTGGTTTGACAGAGTCAGCTGTATTTCTTTCATTCTGGGAAATGCGACCTCAGGCCCCCTTGGAGGAACCAGATGTGGTATCAGAAAATCGCATTTGGTGGGTAAGATAATGTTTTTCCTGGAATGAGAATTATTCTAAAATGCCAAGATCATCTTGGGCAATGACAACTTCTATTGTTCTTCCTTTTCTTTCTTTTTTTTTGCAAAACCCATTTCCAAGGACTAATTTCCTTATCTTCTTTTTCACCTTGAAGAAATTCTCCATCTAGAAACCATATGAGATTTGCTGTGGTAAATACATTCATCAGTGAACAGGTAATAGTTATCTGGTGCAAAGAGAAAATAGGGAGGTTTATTTGTAAATTCAGAAGAAATTTACCCTTTACATCTACACCAATATTTTCATGAGACAAACAGTTGGGAAGAAACAATTTTTTTTTCACTTTTAGCTGAATATATATAAGGCAGGGTGTCCCTTTAAGATAAGTTGTGGATTGTGAATTGGCTATCTTCTATAGAGATGTTATAGATTTATGGCTAGAATCCTGTGTTAACTTAAGAAGAATCTAGAACTATACTAATTGTCATGGATTGAATTATGTCCCCCCAAAAATGTTTATATCAGTTTGGCTAGGCCGTGATTCCTGGTACTGTGTGATTTTCCTATATGTTGTAAATCCTGCCTCTATGATGTTAATGAGAGAGGATGGGTGGCAGTTGTGTTAGTAAGGCAGGACTGGATCTACAAGACTGGATTGTGTCCTGAGGCAATATCTTGAGATATAAAAGTGAGAAGTGAGCAGAGAGACAGGGGGAGATCGTACCATCAAGAAAGAAGTGCTGGGAGCACAGCATGTCCTTTGGACCAGAGTCCCTGCGCAGAGAAGCCCCTAGTGCGGGGGAACACTGATGAGAAGGCCGAGAGAGAGAAAGCCTTCCCCTGGAGCTGACACCCTGAATTTGGACTTTTAGCCTACTTTACTGTACAGAAATAAACTTCTCTTTGTTAAAACCATCCACTTGTGGTATTTCTGTTATAGTAGCACTAGATAACTAAGACACTAATGTTACAAGTTTGGATTCTGAATCCTGGAAACAGGAAATTACAACACTGCATAGGCAGAATAAAAGAGTACTAAATGGAAACCAAAGAGTAGAAGGAGGAAGGTATTACAGGCAGACGCTAGAGAAGACTATTCTATTAGAATAAAGCTAAAAGATAACCACATGCTAAAATTTCCATTCACCAAATAATGTAAATTACTATGTGTAGTTAAACCACAAAAAAACTTTTAATACAGACATCACACTTTCTGACTTCTACAGCGTTGTCTTCATTTTTAAGTTTATTTTATCTTCTTAAGAACCTTATAGTGTAGATAAGGCATGCCTTATGTTAACATTCGATGGTTGGGGAAACCAAGACAGAGTGGTTAAAGGAAGTGGAAGGTAGTTAATGGCACAATTTGAAACTGTGTTCCCTCAATCCCATTCCAGGATATTTCGTGCTAAAACACATTATATTAAACTAAGAAAGAGATGGAACAACAGGTAATTAGAAAAGTAGAGAGCTTAGGTTTAGGGTTAGTTATGTTTTTTTTCCAACATTGTTTAAGAAGAGTTTGTTCTTTGGGAAATGGTAATTTCTTCAATAGCCTGGTAAATATATCCAGTAAGACTATTCCATTCCCCTTATTTTATTTGATGCCCTGAAAAATTATAATCTTGTTTATAGTTACTTATTTTCACTTCAAGAGACATATATTTTACATATTACCAGCTCTAGTTCTTAGTTCACATATATTCTCCACACTTGATGAATATATTAGTTAAGTTGTATAGATGCTGGTGCATGTGAAAGCTGGAGAATGAATAAGGAAGACCGAAGAAGAATTGATGCTTATGAATTGTGGTGTTGGAGAAGAATATTGAATATACCATGGACAGCAAAAAGAATGAACAAATCTGTCTTGGAAGAAGTATAACCAGAATGTTCCCTAGAAGCAAGAATGGCAAGACTACTTCTCACATACTTTGGACATGTTGTCAGGAGGGATCAATCCCTGGAGAACGACATCATGCTTGGTGAAGTAGAGGGCCAGCAAAAAAGAGGAAGACCTTCAATGACATGGATTGACACAGTGGCTGCAACAGTGAGCTCAAGCACAACAACGATTGTGAGGATGGCATAGGACCGGGCAGTGTTTCATTCTGTTGTACATAGGGTCACTTTGATTTGGAACTGACTTGACAGCACTTAATAACAACAACATAGAGTCTGGGTGTGCCAATTTCCCCAAACTGATGAATATATTCATTAACGAGTTTGTGAGGCTGAATGTGCCAATTTCCCCAAATTCTATTTACACCCAGAGTCTAGACTGACAGAACTGAGAAACCAAACTCAAGGATATTAAGTGACACTTTTCTGGTGAGCTCATACTGAGGTGCAGCTTAACATCTCTCAGGATATCACCACAAAAATTCCAAGGAACCAATGAGACTTTCAGAGGGGGCTATATCTGTTATAGCTCCCAGTGTTTTCACTTAGTCATCACTTGCTTTTTCCAGATACATGCATATGACAGGGATGGGGACCCATGAAACTGTGCCTCTGTTTGCTCTGGAAAAGAAAAAAGAAAAATTAAACCAAGTCCCAGAAGATGCATTCTTATTAAGGTAAGAGAAATCAGTTCATTTAATCCAATAAAATGCCAAAGATTGAAGTTAATCTCTAGGTGGTCTATGAAGTGAGGTAAGAGATATAGAAGAAGAAATGTTAAAAAAAAAGTTGTAAAGATTTGTGTTAATGTCAATGCCTTTAACCATTCTCATGATTCATTTCCTCTGTGCTCAGTTTACCCACCAAAATGATGATGATCTAGTAATATCAGGACCATGTGAGGTTATGTTATTTTCTGAGGGCAGTTGGTTCAATGAAGGAATCTCTTATCAACTACTAAAAAGTTGAAAAGTCAAATTGGAAAATGAGCTGCTAAGTTCAGATATTCTACAATAATTCATTTTTCAAATATTCTGTACTTCCTCCAGACTCTGTGTTTGAAGATTTGATTTAAGAATACAATTCTTGTCCTAAACTCCTCACAGTCTCTCTTAAATTGGAAAGCTGCCAACTAAACGTAGTTTGACTTAGGATCAAAGGTCTTCTAAAATGTCAAGAATATATGGTTTTGCTGAGCAAAAAAAAACTGTCTTTACAATTGGGATCTTCTACTTGACTCAAATGAGTAAGAAGGAAGGCATGTTAAATCTGAAGAGAATATGAAGACGTAAACACACAAAAAAGTGTATGTGTACACCTACGTGTACAAACACATGGTCCTCTGCTGGGAAGTCAAAATCTTTTGCCCACCCATTGTGCATCTGTTGTATCTGAGAGACAAGCCAAATAATTGGTTCCTCTAAAATTATTCCAAATAAATATGAAATAAATGAGAAATAGTACAAAGAATAATGCAGTGAGTGCCTCAAAGCACTTACTGGGTACAGAGAAGGGAGAAATCTGGGAATATCTTAGCTAACAGAGTCATGTTTGGAAGACAGAGAAGAGATGAGCCTGGATTCCACAGGAGGTTTGTTTTAGAAAGTAGTGGGAAATTCATGAAGATGGATAAAACTTTCTGTAGCAGAGCACCTTGAGACCCAAGTGTAAATTGGAGATGCTGCCTTGACAGCAGGAGGAAGCCAGTGAAGGGTCAGAGCATGATGGCATTTGTGAGTCCGAAAAAGTAACAAAAATCTGGCTGTACGAGGCATCATTTTCTTATTTCTACAAATGAAATACAAAAATCGTGACCATTTACTAATGAGGTACAGGAGTCCAGTGACAAGGGCCAGAAGGCAGAAGGGGAGAAGGAAGCTCGTGATAGGGAACCCAAGGTTGAGTAAAGATATTGTTGATGTGTTGTGAAATTGTTAACCACTGTCATAGGGCAACATTTGTAGTAACTGTTAAATGAGAAACTATTTTGTTCTGTAAGCCTTCACCTGAAGTACAATAAAAAAATAAAATAAAATAAAAAATTGTGACCATTTGTAGGTTAACTCTTATTTAGCTCGCCGAAGATTAGGCAGCAACTTTATCAAAAGGCTTTTCACAGTATTATTCTGAACATATTTAGCTTTTTAGTCTAGGAAGAGAAATCTTTTTTTTTTTTTTTTTTTTTAAGTTTCCCTATTTCCCTATTGTTTTCCTATTTGGATTGTTTCCTCCTTCCCCTTTCCATCCATTTTTTTGTTTTTTTCTTTTCCATTTGGAATGCAACTTTTCCATCTTTACAAGTTTCTGCTCTGCTATCTATTCTTCCATAAAACAAAGTTGTTTCACAGACATCTTCTTTAAAATATTGCTATCTCTTCTTGGGTGTTTTCCTTCCTAACTTTAATTTTTTTGTGTGTGTAGGTGTGTGTGTGTGTGTGTATGTGTGTGTTTTTGCTTAAATTGTAATTATCCTCTTATTTCATTACAATTGAAAGTAGAAGCATTCCAGCTTTTCCAACTCTAGTATTATAATAAAAAAGTCATCACAAATCTGTTTCTCAAATTGCAATTTTTTTGAGTTTTTGGAATGAGAAATGCAGTTTAATTCTCCTGTAATTCAGATGTCTGGGGTCTATGGGATTGGGGTGACCCATCCAAGCCATTGCCCTGAGATCTTCTTTTCAACTTTGAACCTCGAGAAAACTGGTTTCTAAAAGTTACCTTTGAGTCAAACAATCGCCTAGTAAGTAGCTTAGTAATAGTTCTTTTGCCTTAGGCATTGGGCTTTTTTGAAAAATTATCTATGTGCAGTCAGTTTTGAGAAACATGAACTCCAAGGTCAGACTAGAAGCTGTGTTGTAAGGTAAATGTTATTATGTAAACACTGTTCTTGCTCCATTTCCATGGCAATGTCAGTAAGATGAAGTGTAAGAAAGAATCTTTAATATTTGGAACGTTTTTTACTCTCTATCTAAATGTTACCCTAATTTGCAAACTGTATATTAAATAAACTTCCATCAACATCTATTACTGGCTTAATATGATTTTTGTTTTAATGAGCATTTTCCTTCACTTAACCTCCCCTTTTCTGTAAATTCCTTTGAACTTTCCACCGTCTCTATTTACAGTCACCATAGTTTTCAAAACCTAAATTCATGGTCTGGCAATTGGACAAAATATTTGAAACCACAGGTGTCCTTGAGACACGTGGTCTCTGTGTCCCTATTTCACCCTCACCCTCACCCCCTTAAATGTCTTTCTTTGCTTGAGAGACCAGATGATCTAGTTATAGAGAAACAGAACTGAGACTTGTAGGTGCCTGACTTACTGTTTTACTATAGACATTTGCCAGGAATAAGTATTTTTTTTTGGTGGGTGGTGGGGTGGGTGGAGAAAAGGCTTGCATTTAGGTGTAAATGTTGCAGAAAAACCTGACAAGCAGGGACACACAGGAAACAAGGTTCCCACATAAGTGAGAGGACACAGGAACTAGAGGTGCCCTGCCCCTGGAGGTAGGAGTCAACTAATAGCCATCCAAAGTGCAAGGACACACTTACTCTGCACTGGAGAGACCAGAAGCAAGTCCAGACTCTGGGTTTCCTGTGTAAGTACTTGTGGCAAGGAGGGAAATTCCTCACTACTCGAGGCTGCAAAGCTTGATGAGTAAATCTTTCACTCACTTAAGAAATAATCCAAAAAAAAAGGAGAGAGAAGTCAGAATGTAAGATAATTTTCCATTTAGCAATTTATCCTTAAAATAGGTTAAAGAAGCCAAACATCAGGATTAACTAAGTTATTTGTCAGGAGGTTCTTATTGGCTATTGGCTTTGCAGGTGATAGTGCCAGGGAAGGTGGAGTAGTCTGAGCTGCTTGCCCAGATGACCGGCAACAGGTCTGTGGATATGGACTCCATCTCTTTCTCCTCTGTGCACGCCAACTCCTCCTGCGGAAGACAACTGCTGTTTGGAATTTCTTAGACTCCCAGCCTCATAGGAACCTGTCTGGGGACAAACTGACTTCACTTTGGAAAATTTATTACCCAGACCCTGGCAGGCTTTCTGGCCTCTGGACTGCTTGTTGCAATGGTGTGAGAAGGTGAGAGTGTCTCCTACATCAGCATCTGTTCCTGCTTGCTTTTACCTACTCTGAAGAAGACCCAGTGAGGACCAGCCCTGAGGCCTTATTCCTCTTGTCTCCAAAGGTAAAAATACACTTTATAGGTATATCAAAGAACACAGAAACAATGGAAATAGCCAAGAGAAGAATCAAGAGAAAACCTAAAATTTTCAATATTCCAAAACACCCATGGTGTTGGTTGATGTGGAGAATGCTGAGTTTACTGAAGAGTTCTGTCATTGTTGGACAGGGAGAGCCTTTACTACAGGAACTCATTTGTTTTGTCTCTCTGGCCTGGCCAAGAAGGGATCAGTAAGTATCTGAGGCATGCAGGGAAGGTACATGAGAGCCTCACAGGCCATTTTTCTTGGATCTGTGGTTTAACTCCTCATTCCCACCCCTGACTCTCCAGGGAAGCAGAAAGGAGGCAACACCACACCACCCAGGTGTAGCCAGAATTTAATCAGTATTGTAAATGCCCAAGAGTTGCCACAGTCCCTTTCCAAACACACATGTAGTCTTATGGTTCAGGTAAGACCTTTGGTTCAAATCAAGGTACCATCACAAGGAAAGCTGTGGAAGAGAAGGCAGGATGACATGGGAGGAGGAGGAAGAGGAGGGAACTAGGGTGAAAGCAAAAGGGGATTTGGAGTTGAAGGAAGAAGAGGAGATCTGTGAGACTGGAAAACTGGTTGGCCCACTGGCAAGGGCCATGCCCACCCCAGTGCCCCACAATAGGGAGACCTGGTTTTCTGAGGCATGGGAATATTTCCACCTGGCTCCAGAAAAAGCTGGGCACCACCCCAACCAGTATGCCATCTGCCAGCTGTGTGGCAGGCAGGTTAGTTGTGGCCTTGGGGCTAATGTGGGCACCACAACCCTGTGGAAGCACCTGAAAAGCATTCACAAAAAGAAGCTGGAGAAGAGTGGCCATGATCATGCAGAGCAGCACCAGGACCTAAGGACTCAAAGGTCTTAGCTTCCCATGGGCACTGAGGGCAACCGGGCCAGGCTCCTGGAGCAGGTGGGAGCCCTGGCTTTATGGGCCAGCCAAAGGGAGAAGGAGGTACTTAGGAGGGAGAAGGCAGTGGACTGGCAGGAGAGGGCTGTAGAAAGGAGAGAGTGAGCAGTGGAGGAAGTGGAAAGTGCCATCCTGGAGATGAAGTAGAAGGTGAGGGCTGAGAAGGAGGCATGCTAGAGGGAGAAAGACCTGCCTGCAGCAGCTCATCCTTTGCATGTTTTATAAATTGGACTTGGGGGAATCTATTCTGGAAACACAGACTCTGGACTCACAGCAAAGAGTCATTTTAGTTCCAGCTCAAATATAAAGCAAAGTAGTTTAGTGGGATTTTGTTTTTGAGAGAAGGAGTGGAGAGCATCAATTAACCTCAGTGGGTCTGAATTGGCCACATACTTATCTTCATGGTTTCTAGAGCTGTACTGACCTTTGATCAAAATATCAAAAGGTACTAACCAGAGATAAATATCATTTTGCCAGCGTGGGTCTGTGAGTTTTTTTTTGGGAAAAATGTACCAGCCCGTCAGCATTGTTTAACAATAATAATTGGATTTATCCCTTGCACTCGGTTTCAGTGGAGCTAAAGGTTTCAACTCTTGAGACTTGTCAGGTAGCTGAAATGTGCCTATGTGACCAGCTCACTATAAAGACCTCACTGTGAGCAGAGCTTAGGCTTCCTGGGACCAAAATGTTTGCATGCATACTGGTGGTGATTTGAGATCTGGTGACAAGGCTTATTCTGTAAGACCCAGCAGTGGTAGGGCAAATAAAGCTGTTCCTAAGATCTTTGGATACCTCCAATGCACATCTTTGTCCTATTGGTCAGTGTTGTAGGCTCTGCTTACATTAAAACTGTTTCATCAGTATTATCTGTCTGAGTCAAATGGGCTTTTTTAACAATCTAATGCTTAATAATTAATGTGTAATTAGTATAGTCAGAATTAAAGACTTTTCAACTCACTTGAGTTTTATAAATTAAGGTTATAGAATATAAAAATTTATTCACAAATATTTAAAAATATAATCTAATTTCATATTAACCAGTAACAAGTTGCTGTGCAGTCAATTCCTACTCATGGTAACCCCATACGTGTCAAAGTAGAACTGTGCTACGTGGGTTTATCACAGCTGTGACCTTTCAGAAGCAGGTCACCAGACCTTTCTTCTGAGGCACCTCTGGGTGGATATGAACCTCCAATCTTTCAGTAACCAAAGACTTAACCATTTGTACTACCTAGGGATCTGTTAAAGGGGAAAGAACTAACAGGCAAAAGGAGAGAGAGACTCAGGAGGAAAAAGAAAAAGATGGAAAGATGGGGTAAATAAGGAGAAATAAAGAACAGAAGCAGAAAAGTAAAAAGAAAGAAAAAGGATAAAGAAGAAATGTGAAGATAGGAGAAGAGAGTAGGAAAAACTTAACCATAGAAACAAAAAAGAGACCATGAGCATTTGGGATAGTGAAGGCCAGCGAATATTTTCTTAAGTTCTGAGATCAATTTTAATGAGTAAAATTGCTTTTGTTTTCTGCCTACAGACGAGTCATTATTTGAGCAGTAGGCTTTGAATTTTGCTCCACCTCTGAAATGCTAACTGCATGACAGTCCATTCTTCTCTGCTTTTTTTTTTAAACTTTTCATCTTTAAACATCCAGCAATGCTTTGAAAAAATGGAGTCTGATAGTCCATAGGGACAGAAACATTTTCTTGGACTGCTGAGGCTGTGCTTAAAATGATAACTCAGGAATAGAATAAAATCAAACCGGAAACTGCTCTGGTATTTGGGCTGGAGCTGACTTTAGTTTTGGATGACTCCTCCAGAAGCTGTTATGTTTTTTGAACAGGGTTTGGAATAAGGATGGGTTAGGGAAGTAGAGAGAGCTGGGTAAGGCAAGAGGAGAAAATGATACTGTCTCTATTTCTTTATGAGTATTTATGACAAGTACTTTAGGAGTCACCAACCTCCCCAAGAGGGCAGTGGTAGTTCAATGGTAAAATGCTCACCTTCCATAAGGGAGACCCAAGTTCAATTCCCAGGCAATGCATCTCGTGTGCGACTACCATCCGTCAGTGGAGGCTTGTGTGCTTCTATGGTACTGAACAGGTTTCAGTGGAGCATCCAGACTAAAAAGGACAAGGAAGAAAGGCCTGGCAATCTTCCAGATATCAGCCAATGAAAACCTTATAAATGACAACGTGCTTCATGGGGTCATCATGAGTCGGGGCTGACTTGATGGAAGCTAACAACAACAATAACCTTCCCGAAAGCAAACAAGTTCCTGGTGTGCTAACTCCGTGGTGCCTCCCTCAGCCCTCTCCTACGTAGCTCACTCTTAGTGCTTTTAAAACTTGTCTAACAGGCCTAACAGCCAGATCTGTCTTCCCTGAGTGCTGTTTGTAGAACAAACAGGAGTGCAAACCCCAGGCTTGTGAAAAACTCAAACTAAACTGCAGTCCTTTAATCTACTTTTTTCTAGAAACTTTCCTGATATTAAAGATTTCACTCCACAGGCCTCTCCCCACAGGAGTGTGGTACCCCTCTTCAGGCCTCTCCATCTTCAGTGAAAGCCCATGTGCACATTATGCAAGTGATGAGTTTGACAAGAGTTACGTGGCTGGACATTTGGACTCAGAGCCTTATTGTGCCACAAAAGATACTAGAAAAAAAACAACAACTCTGCAATACCTAATATTTTTAAAAATAACAATCAATACATTTGGAATGAGGATCAAGAAGGTCAAAAACTCTGCAAGGTTTCTAGGCTTTGAAAAACCAAAACTGAATTAACACAAAAATTCAAATTCTGCAAAAATAGCTACCAGAGCTGTCCTGCTAAACTCTGATGCTGACCGAAATGTGGTTTTCAGATTATGTCTGTTCTACATGGTCCTCATTATTTTAAACCTCTTTTCCTTTTTAGAAATCTTAACCCTACGGCTTTTGTTTCCTGTTAGTTTTCCTTAGATTTTTTTCCTAAATGTTATCAAACATAAAAAAAAATAGGGGTGACAAGGACAGAACCCATGGAGGTGATCTGGTTAAAGCATAAAGCACAGGCATAAAAGACAGACATGTGGCTTGTGGAAGGACTGAACTGTTGAATAAACTGGCTTTTACATGCTATTTCTCTTGTGCCTTCTTTTGCAACATCATCAGAGCAGGGTTGTAGGCTGAGGGGCCCTTCAGTCCAACATATTTTGCTCTACTGCAAAAATGTGCTACACTGAGGAGCTCTGAGGTTTAGGCTGAAGACTCCCTTCCCATACCAGCTGTGGGAGCCAGGCTTCCTGCTGGTGACGTCTTGCTCTCATGGACACACAGGAGCGTGACTTCCACAGGTATGAGACTCTCCTTGATATCTCTGGTGTGTCTAAGCTTAAGAAATATCATTGTTAGACTAATTTTGAGTCTTTTCTATTTTATAGAAAAACTAAGATATAAATTTTTTAACTTCAGTAATAACGGGAGACACACTTTACAACTGGCCAAGTCCCTAGTACAATCTGACATGAGGGCTACTGGTGCAGTAAATATGTAATACATAGTAAGCAGTGAAGACATGCATGTTGAATTAATTAATTAACTAAGATGAAGGGGAGGCAGGAAATTGTCATTTATATAACAACTAGGATGTGCAAGATGGTAGGCACTTTGTATATGAACTCTCATTAGATCCTTGTATCACCCTTGTAAGGTTAGAATCATTGCCTCTTTTTTGCTGAGGAGGACGCTAAGGAAGCAAAGGCCTGAGTTAATGAGTGATGGAGAAGAATTCCAAACTAAATCTGTCAGATTCCACAATCTATGCTTTGTTTTTTCATTATCCTACATTGTCTCCTAGAATCAATCACATGGTAGATGTATGAATATACATGCGGAGGTAGGAATGGGAGCAAGAAAATAAAATGAATGATAAAGAGTGGGTTGGGGAGAAATATTCTTGATACATCTACTATGAGTCATGTACTCCATTACTACATATAAATTTGATTCTCGTAAAAACCCTGTGAAGTATTTATTATTATCTCCGTTCTAGAGATGAGTTAACTGAGGCTCATGGAGGTTAACTACTTGACCAGAATGTGTAGCTAGTAAGTGTTCAAACTAGAATTTGACACTAGGTCTATCTAACCCTGAAGCACAATTTTTTTTTCATTATACCACCTGCCTGGATATGGACATGTTAAGTTCTTGTCCCAGTTCTACCCTTCATTAGATGTGACTCAGTCAATTGTTTAGCCTCTCCAGGCCCCAATTTCTCATCTGTAACATGACACATATCCCACCTATTTTAGAAGCTCATTGGGAGCATCGCATGATGAAGAGTTAATAAATTATTTTAAAATACAGCAGGAATTATAATACTAGAGTGAGAAATTACTAATGCTTGGCAAATTCTTAAAAGATTCACAGACAAGCTGTGTCCTGTAGCTGGTTATGTGGGGTTGAGGTGAGATTATTCATTGACCCTCCAGGAGGGAAGGTTCTCTGATTTCCTAGTCAGCACCTATGCCAGCCTTGGTACAGAAGATGGAATCTGATAGCACATAAAGCAAAGGTCTTTTTTTTTTTTAATACTGAGATTCCTGGACTCAATCTTGTATTTCCATATCTGATTGAGTCCATATTACCTGTAAACTTTGGCATCAAGAATCTGCAAGAAACCCTTATAAGAAACAAAAACACCTACCAAAAAGTATATCATTATCTTTAAACTATTGAAATAAAGTACACTAATGCACTTGGAAATTAATTATGGAATTAAAAATTAATTAATTATTAAATTAAAAAAATTAAGTTTTTTTTTCCATGTACTCTGGTCTACAGTAGCAATTATCAAAGAGACAAATATATAATTAACAAAAGACACAAGTATTTATGCACATATACACTCATCCACAACCATCCCACAGGATCTGAACTATGATTTGTATTCAATCTTCATATTAAATGACTAATATTTCATGGGACCAGAAATCATAAGTTATTTAATGTTCTTGGAGCTGAGTTTCTTCTAGAATATGAGGATAATTTTCTTTCAGCCCATATCACAAGAATTTTTTGAAAATTGATGAGAATATTTATTTTACATGGGATTTTGAAAAACAAGTGAAATCATAAGGCGACAAGATCACTGATTAAAACATATAATAGTAGTAACAAGACCTAAAAAAATTAATGTTCATTAAGCACTTGATATATGCCATGCACTGTACTAAGAACTTTTCATA